GTTGAGATAAGTAGTTGGGTACACACTTTTGAAAGAAAATTTGTAAGATAATAGTGACTAGGCTAAGCTTTAAATGGAAATAAGTTCCCTCTCGGGTAACTTACCCTGTTTCAAATACATTCTTCTCGGACACCCATTAGCCGCATGGAGACCAGCCTACGGCCTACCCCACTCACTCTCTCTCGATGAGTGTTAGGATATAGGACAAGGGCTCACCCTCTCGGGCTGAACCTCATGTCGACCCACTCCTTACGCCATCAGTCTAGTGGTCTTGGTTTCGCGACCTCCCTCTCGGGTAAGCCAAAAACACATGGGTGGCTTTGTATTTGAAACTACAAACCCTTTAGATTAAACCACAACCACTACGTGAAATCACCATTAAACTACATCTAACTTATCAGCAAGTAAGGCCCAACATTAATATCAACACATATTTTCTAAATCACACCCCAAGAATGGGGGTTTTTAGCCACACATCAAGAAATAAAAAAATACAACCTAAAATGAATAGTAAAATCAAATGGGTATAAGAAATTAAACCTTGATTTAAGAAAAGGAAGAAGAATGTAGAAGATCCACTTCCAACTTGGGGAAGATGAAATTCTTCTTTCTTCAAGTCTCCCAAAAGCCCTCACCAAACTTGAGAGAAAAATATCCAAAAAGTACTATTCTATTTTGGAAATTAAAATAAATGTTTGACTCTCTAAAATTAATAATAAGTTCAGTATTTATAGACTTCAGAAAATAGCGTTGGCAGATCTTTCGGCGCAGTTAGTCGATATCGCCGAATGACTTAGGCGATTCACCCTTCGTCTGTCTCATCGCTGTTTCGTGCTTGCCTTCCGCATCTTCACGTTCTAGACCATTGGGCGGTATAGTACTGCTTCGCGGAACTATTCGGCTAAGCGCTGACTACTCCTTTCATCGCCTTTTTAATCCTTCTCCTTCAGGGCTTCGCATACTAGAACAAAGGGCAGAGTAAATCCCTTCGGCGAATCGCCAAATGTGCTTGAAGATGCTCGGGCTTCAGCTACTTCGTTCTTTTCAGGCTTTTTGTTCCTTTTTGCGCCTATGTGTCCATGCTTTCACTAAAACTTCAAATACCTGAAACTTAAGAGTTTTCATCAGATATTTAGACAAAATAAGCATTCGAGGACATTATTTTTATCAAAATAAAGCCGTAAATGAGTCCAATTTGTGGACTCATCAACACCCCAACTTAAACTTTTACTTTTCCTCAAGCAAAACTCAAGTTCAGCCATTCAAAAAAGGGTGTCTCAAACAGTGCTACACAAGACTCAATCATGAACATACAAAAAGATTCAAATTACTTATGCAAAGATAAACTGTATACTCAAAGATTCAAGTTGTGACACACTATTACTAGAGATTCTCATGCTCGCAATACTTGCTACTTGTGTGAGTTCAAGCTCGACAAAAAGAATCTAAATTCCCTCACATGAAGAATGATTCCATATTCACACACAGAGGTTAATCAATTCAAGATCAGAAATCAGATGCAAAGCTCACACTCAAAAAGAGGAACACAATGCATGCTTTCACCCATAGATTTGCCCTTATTTTCCAATTGACATTTGTTTTGGCTTATTCAAGATCAAAAAGGTCTTTCTAAGACTTGTAAT